TCCGGGCACGCGCCCGGGCACGTGCCCGGATTCTACTTTGTATCCCCTAAATGTCCTGTACTGTGGTGTCTGGCCATTACATGATCATGGGAGAACTGATCAAGGTTCTGCATACAAGCTCAATTTTTTGACAGTGAGATTGCAGGCCAACACTTAGGAGATACAAAGTAGAATATATGCCCGATTTTTTGCCCAGAAAATCCCAATTTACAGCCAGAATAATTCTGGCCACAAGGACAGGCATGTTCCCAAATTCTGCATTGTATCCCATTATTATTTTCACACTTAACAGTTGTTGAAGTTTCTCTACCAGCCCCCCACACCCGTGCAGGGCAGTGAATGTACTGCACCATTGGGTAGACAACCAAGGACTGTGCTGTGTTGCAAAGTAGCACAGTGGGGCAAAAATGAGGACTCCCCTGTGTTGCATGCATAAAAATGCAGTGAAGCTCACCACAGGGGTAATAATTTGGTAGGAGAAAGCAGCTGGCACCTGCAGGAAACTGTGCTGTGCTGCAATGCCATTTTGAACAGTGGCTAAAATATGACTGGGCCCTTGCAGTGAAGGATGGTGTAGTGGTGCTTTTGGCAAAACCCAATGTGTTGGTGACCAGAGCACCCATGGTTTGTGTCAGCCCCTGAGCCCTATGTATAAGTAGACACAGAAAGTATATGTCACCCCCGGGGCCACACTTACTCACACTATATACACTGTAGTGATCTTTTGGCCCCAAGGTTGTTGTATCTTTTCTGTCCCTACTTGTACAGGACCACAGACTAACAAACACACATGTAAATATATGTAACTTGGCTAAAACTATAATACTCATACTTTTGATCTCTTTGAGCTTAGTCAACTTGCTCTTGAGAGATCTAATATTTATTTATTTTGTTAAAGAATTTAAGACAGAGTTATTTGAATCTATTCATAAGGTCATAATCAGCAACAAGAAAAATAAATAAATACATCAAAAAGTCAAAAATCATAGGTATATCAAGTTGTGAAATGGTCTTTGAGGGTATAATTATTTAGTTTGAGGGTTCAAAAAGCTTATAATCTAAAAGAGAAGGATAAAATTAGTCAGGAATAACTATGATCATGAGAATTGATAAGGGAGGAGAGGAGAGGAGAGAAGGAAACCCAAAAAGTGAGGGTATGACAGATACAATTCTTATGTAATGATCTGCTTAGTTAGAATTGAGGGTGGCCAAGAGTTTTAGAGGGATTTTAGGTTATTCCAAAGATGGACCATGATTGTAATGCTGTGTATGAAGTGAGTAGAAGAAGAAGAAAGGGAGCAAAATGTGCATAAAAGTGGTCATGGGAGTAAACATTGTCTGAAAATAGTAGTTTTTCATCAACCACATATGTCAAATCTGGTCTGATCAGTCTGTGTAAGGTATCAATCAACACTTAGTTATGTACCCCCTTCAAATTGATAGTAGCTGAAGTGTTGTGAAAAAGGTATAAAAGATCAATGTGGAAATTAATGAAATCTGAATCCCCAAATTTGCCTTGCATGTGCATATATAAAATGACTTTTGGACATGTAACTCATTCAAAAACCTTATGTCATCAATCTTTACAACTCAATGACTCATTCATCACACATCATAAATAGCTCCTGTGATACCAAGATATGATCAGAATCATGAGATCTACAAGATTAACTTCAGTAATCAAAAATCAGAGCACTTTGTAAAACATCTGTAATGTTGAAAACAATGTTTAAAAAACAGAAAATCTAACATTAGCCATGTTCAAAATCCGCACTCAAAGTTGACCCGGTTTCAAGAGAACCCCGTTGACCCAGTTGCTCTTTGGCAGTAACTTTGTGTATCAAGTTGACATTTGTTGACAGCTCACAGCCAATGAGTCAACTGGGTTGACTAGGTTTTTTGGAACCGGGTCAACTTTGAGCATGGCTAAACCTAACCCGGTTGACAGAAAAATCTGGTACACCCAGTTGGGTTTTTGGTGGTAAATTTGTGTATCTATTGATAGCTCTTGACAGCTTCCAGCCAAAAAGTTGACCAGGTGTATTGGGTTTTTGTGCAAATGGGTTATAAGGTTTGAACACAGCTCTTCTGCAAGACAATTCATCAAACCTTTTGTCCTGTCTGAGAAAAACTCATTAAAAAAAGTGGACAAGAGAGGTTCAAATTTTTTTTTTTGAAAAGTAAAAAAAAACACTAAATATATTTGAAGTTTCAAAATTTCTTCATAGGATGTAAAGATCAAATTGGTCTTTGTAATTGATGTCACTATTAATCTAGTGGGATAAATGATTTCAAAACAGTATAGTCTAATCAAGTGATCATTCTTGAAGTATCACATGATGGGTACATATTTTGGATTGGGGGTGTGCCCAGTGTGCCTTTTTGAATTACTAAAAGGTGCTCCTATAGTGGGGGCATCAGGGTGTGCCTTTTGAGGATGAAAAATCACAATCAAAAATGAATTTTTGAAAAAAAAAAACATTGGTGAAAATTTTTGAAAGGCAAAACAAACTGATATTTTTTTCAAATCACTCTGAACCAATCCCAAAAGCAGTTTTTCAAAAACTTATTGTTTCATTCAGAAATCCATCTTTTAGTTTATGGTATGTACATCTAATCCATCAGCTCATACTCCATCAATTCTCAGATCAAAAACTCAATTACATACAACCACATGACCTTTTTTAGATTAAACAAGTTCCAGTACATACACCGTTCAAATAGATCAAACCTCAATGATTTTCTTGTTGTTGTTGTTGTTATTATTTGTAAGGCAATCACTTTGCTTCATTTACCACCTCTCATGTAACTTTAAGTTTAGTAAAGGTTCAAACCTCAATCCAAAAAAACAATTTTCTAAAAAATACATCAAGACTTATCAACCAAATTAAAATCTGATTCCATCAAACTAATTAAATCCATGCAGCCAATTTTTATCAAACCAAGTGATTGTAAGATCTTTTATGAATGCTTCTTTGCTATGTAGAATCATCTTTTTGTTCAAATCCATCATTACAACAATTTGAGAGATTTCTCACTGTAAACATCATACACTATCCCCAAGTAGAACTGGGAAAATTAGGATTATTCTAGTTTTTCATCAAAAGATCTATCACTGGACACCTGAGCCACCACACCCACACTACATATGTGCAACAAGCTGATTAAATTGTTAGCTATGATGTACATACAGGTCTGCTCAGTTCTCTGCTCATCTGAAGAAGTAAATCACATGTGATACATCATGTAACTTTTTCAGTTTGACAAAATTGTCCTAAAAAATGACTACATATACTTCCATAGCTACTCATGTAATACTCTGAAAGCCAGTCAACAGTAACAGATAGGGTGTTACATGAGGTTTGATTAATGGAATTACACCAAAACTATGAGTCAGTGTATAGTGCATGGAGGCAAGACCTTGGCAATTGGGGATCAAGGAAATACAGGTAAATACTCAATAATTTGCCCTTTTGGCCCCGCCAGCTCAAATTTCAAAACCTTCAATCAGGTTGGATTCTGTTTTCCTTCATCAAGATTGTACACTCCTCATTTGACTTGGGCTTGGCTTCCTGTCTCAAGCCAACAAGCTCTTGGGCAGCAAGTTGTGCTTTCTCTCAACTTTCTAAGACAAAAATCCACAGAGATAAAATACAAATGACAAAAAAAGATTAATTCTTCAGAAAAGAACAAGAAACCGTTATTTTTCTCCAAAAAGATATACAGGGATTGTTCTAAGAGAGAGCATTCAAAAACTTGATTTTCTTTTTGGAAAAGTTGATGGCTTGGTATGGATTTATCATTTTGAAGAAAAACCAAAAAAGATATGCATGGAATCCTCTCGGTGAGAGCATTCCAGAACTTTGATTGGCTGGTAGATACAACAAGTTTTGTGTTCTAGCAATCGTTTTGGGTTTGGTTTGAAATTGACAATGATTTGCCTCCACGCACTATATGCAGTCAATCTTTGGAATGCTTTTGTCAAACCAAAAAAAATTTACAGAAAGTATTACATATGATCCACTCATCCAAATGAGCCAATAGCTGAGGCTGAGCAGCTCTGTATGTACATGATAGCTCCAAATCTTCCTATCCTTCTGCACATATGTAGTGTGTGTGCTTTGGCTCAGGTGTGTGGTGATATATCTTTCATGACAAACTACAATCTTAATCATTTTCCCATTCTCACTTGCAGATAATGTATAATGTTTACAGTGTTCTATACCAATCTGGTCTTATGCTTTGGCATCACTAGAGCTGCTAAGTGTAAGAAAAGTGTAAGAAATTCCAAGAACAGAAGAAAAAACACAAAGCTAGTTCAAGGGCGTGCCCCTCTCATCTCTTGACTTTCTAGGCGCGCCCTGGCACCCAAAAGGCGCGCTTCTTGACCGACGCCCACTGCGTGAAAATGAAGGAAATGTGTCCTTTCTCACGGTCAACCACAGGTTGGTAGCAAGTAGCTTTCCAGCTCAGAGGTTCTGCTCACCAACGTGTAGCATGCTACACCCACTACTAATTGTCAACAAACCTGGTCGATTGATCGGTTTCCTTACCAATCATCAGTACACCAGAGTCTCTTTTTGCCCGCAAAGTAACTTTTCAACCTGTTTGATTCTTTCAGCTACGGGGTTTGCAACTCAAGTGAAAAGTTTTCAACATAAATTTCACTTTGGTTCTATACAACGCGTGTTTTTTGTTCTTCATTTCTTCATTTTCAAAACTGATTCTAACTTTCTTTATTTTATTTTGGAGCGAATTCGAGAAACATAAGTAATTTTAGGGTCGGAAACAACTTAGGATTTCAAACCGAACTTGAATCATGAATCATAAGTGACATCTGATTTCGATTTAAAAAAAATCTAATCGGTTTGATGACTTTGAATGGGTTTAAACTTCATATAAAATCGGATTGGATCTTGATTTTGGATGAATTTTAATCAAGTTTGTAACCGACCTATGAAGACGAACAAGCCAAAAAACCAAGAAATAAGTTTAATGAATTATATAACTCGTCTAAATAACGTAAAAAAACACTCAACAATATGACGACGACCGATCATTTCACCAATACTTGAAAAAGGAAACCATCCAGAAAAAAACCAATGAGTAATCAAACCAAACCCATTGAAAATCAAAAACACAAACCTAAAGATCCCAATAGCTTCTAAAGTATAAATCCCATACCGTTTCCATTCACCTGATTCGATTAAAGATTTCCAAAACTGTAAAGAACTAGAGTTTTTAAACCATTGAAGATAAGCAGTTTGGATTTGATTTAGGTTAGGTGGATTTAAGTTTTCTTTTAAATAAACTTGTTTTAAGATTTCTTTAGTAAAGATTAAGTTGTATGAAACGGTTTGACTATAACCTATAAACCAAAAAGAAAACAATTTCGTTTAGGTTTTTGATTGGATTTGAGGAGTTAAGAGAAAGGTTTACCAGATAAATGGGTATTCAAGTTTGGTAGTTTTGATTGAAATTGATTGACGAGTTTAGATTGATTGATTTCTGAAAGTTTATGTTTGAGTTGGTTTAAATTGTTTGAAAGGTTTGAAGAATTTCTTTTGAATGATGGTTGAAGATGATTTAAGATTCTTGAATTAGATTTCATCATTTTTGGTAAATAAACAAGTTGATCTGATCGAGTTTAAAGAGAAAGAGAGAGAGTGGATCGATCGGATGAAATTGGGGAAAGAGTAAAAGAGTGAAAAAGAGTTGAGAAGGAATATATGCTTATATCCAATCAACAGTAAACACTCAATCTACATACACATTCGATCCAATCATGAGTCATGAACAAGATGAACTCATCAGAATCCAGTTTGATCGAATTCACTAAACAGTTCAGCATTCAAACTAATTCAAAATCTATCACTACTATCAAATTCTCACCAGATCATCAAAAACTAGCTATCTCTACCACAAACTCAATCATTGAAATCTATCAATTCATCACTCATCCAAATCCAACTCAATCCAAAAAGGTTCCAATCGAAATCTTACATTTCTTAACGCTCACAGGTCATCAACAAGGAATCAATGATCTAAGTTGGTCAAACGATTCAAAACTAATCGGATCAGCTTCAGATGATTTCACCCTAAAGATCTGGTCTATCGATTTCCAATCCAAAGAATCTTATACCGTTAAAACTCTTAAAGGTCATTCGAATCATGTCTATTGTTTAAAGTTTCATCCCTTAGGTACTTTGATTATCTCTGGTTCGTTTGATGAATCGATTAAGATTTGGGATTCGGCTACCAAGAAGTGTTTGAGAACTTTATTGGGTCATTCCGAGGTGGTTTGTGCTTTGGATTTTAGTAAAGATGGATCAGTGATCGTGAGTGCTTCGTTTGATGGATTAACGTTAAGTTTCTTTTTTTGGCTTTCACAATGGAGTTTTCTTGAGAAATTAACGCGTAGCTCTGTTTTTCTTTCGCGAAAATCGGTTTCATTTTTTCGTTTAGTCGGTTATGGGATACTGCTACAGGTCAATGTTTGAAAACTTTAGTAGTAGATGAAGAAACTCATGCACCAGTGTAAATCATCCGAGATTTAATTTTTTTGACTTTTGAGAGTGAATCTAATCATTCATGATGAATTTTCTTACAGTTCGTTTGTGGCTTTTACACCTAATTCAAATTATCTTTTAACTTGTGCATTAGATTCGATTGTAAGATTATGGGATTATAAAACTAAAGAAGGTACAATTGTGAAATCTTTTAAAGGTCATACTAACATTAAGTAAGTGTAAACTTTGATTTCTGATTTTTTTTTAAAAACACAAAGATTATTGAACACTTTTTTTGGGGGGTTTTGGGTTTGCGTTTAGGTATTCTATTCCTGCAAAACTCATGGCTATTGGTCAGGAGGGAAAAGCTTTGGTCATCATGGGTAGTGAAGATGGAAAGATATGGATTTGGGATTTACAAAGTAGAGAGACTGTTCAAGTTCTTGATGCTCATTCAGGTAAGAAATCAAACCTTCCAAACTCATTCTCTTTTTACTTTCAACACTTTTTGATTACTTTTTTTTCTCCCTTGGAAATTGATTTTTGGTTTGGGTTTGGGTTTTTGATTATAGATAGTGTGATTTGTATTGAAACATTTAATGGGAACTTGAATGATTTGGTTTTTTTATCTTCTGGTTTGGAAAAAGAAAATGGATTTAAATTGTTTAAGACAAGTTTATAAATCATCAAAGTTGCTTGAGGATGAAATCCCAAAGGAGAAAAAAGGAAAAAGTTAAAAGTGAAAGTAAAAGTGAAAAAGTAAAAAAAACAAGGCTTGATTTGATTTTTGGTTTTTGGTTTTTGGTTTGTGATTGGATTTTGTTTTAACAGTGATTACAAGAAATTTCATGTCCTACTTGAAAAAAAAAACATTTGTTATTTTCTGGTTGATGATTCACCCAAAACCTTGTGGAAAAATTCATATAATACAGAACTGTGTATTAGAAGTTTCTTGTTTCAGTTGGAACTTGAGGTGTATCCTTTAGTTGACATATGGCTGTATTTAGTAGAATCTAATACAAAATTTGAAGAAGGACAAAATAGAAAAGTTAGAATAAGACATACATTTCTTGAATAGCTATAGATTTTCAGTTCTCAAATAGCTTTAGATTTTGAGTTTTTTTTTCTTTTACTAATTGAGACAATATGGGGATTAATGGAAGGGTATAAAATCAAAAGTAAGCACCCTTCTTTATTTGTAACAAAATGTAACAAGCAAGCTTTTAATCATTGGAGCTGAGTTAGTAGTACAATTAACCTAGCTGGACTTTTTAAAATAATGATATAGTAAGATACATTGGGAAACCAAAGCTGCCTCTCCTTTCTTAGATCAAAGGTTGTCCTCTATGTATATTGTTTCCTTTGGAAGACCCACTTGTGGTTGAGGATAGTACACTCTGTGGCTTCCTTCCATCATTGAGGCCTACTTGTGGTTTGTTCTGCTTTGGTACTACTAGGTTTTCATTCCAGCAAAAAGTCTCCATTTTTGGGTGTTTGTTTCAGGGATCCATTCTCTACTTGCTACCTATAGCTATTGGTAGAGGGTTTGAGAGGTCAGTATGCTTTTAGCATACTCAGGAATCAGACTTGTCTTACGCCCACCCTTGAGGCACAATCCTTACATTCATGTCAGGATTGTGCAGGTTGGGGTTTATGGGGCCCCCCAGCCTGGGGATTGGTTTTCTGGAACCAAAGATAGCCACAAGGCTTGGATTTTGGGAACCAACTAGCCTTGCTGTAGTCCTCCATTGAGTTGGAGGGTGGGATGTTCTTGCTTTCACTTTTTTTTCAGTGGGTGAGACAGGAGATGAAAAAGCTTGAGAACTCAGAGCCTTTACAGAGAGTCTCCTTCATGAGTGATGTGACTGATGGACTTGTCATCAAAGGTTTTACTCTTTAGGTGACTAGAGTGAGAAGTGGTGTAAATGTGGGAAAAGGAAAAAAAAAACTTTTCTCATTGCACACCTGGGTCTACATTACTTGTCTGAGGACCAAGGACTGTGTGAGTCTCTCATGGTTGCCACAAGTCATCACAGACCTACAAACCATCTGTGTGATGGTGGTTCTCTCAATCCAGAAGAGTATTGTTGTTTTTTACTCTGGATCTTCATCTTTGTTGGCTTAATAGGTTCACAGTAAACATTATGCATTTTCCCCAAGTGGGGATGGGAAAATGATTATTGTAGTTTGTCATAAAAACATCTGTCACTGCACGCCTGAGCCATAACACTCACACTACATATGTGTAACAAGCTCACTAGATTGTTAGCTATCATGAACATACAGGTCTGCTCAGGTCTCTACAAATACATAAATCACATGTGATACATCATGTAAATTTTTCCAGTTTGACAAAATTGTCACAAAAATTGACTACACATGCTGCCATAGTTATCCAGGCAATACTTGGAAAGCCATTCAACAGTAACAGAAAGGGTGTTACATGAAGTTTATTTAATGGAATTACACCAAATCTATGAGTCAGTGTATGTAGTCAATTTTTGGCAGGCTTTTGTTGAGCTGAAAAAAATTACAGAAGGTATTACATATGATATACTCATTCCAATGAACCAATAGCTGAGAGCTTCTGTATGTACATGATAGCTCCCAATTTTCCTGTCCTGTTGGACATATGTAGTGTATGTCTCAAATGTGCAGTGATATGTCTTTTCATGAAAAACTACAATTTCAATCCTTTTCCCAATCTCACTTAGGTATAATGTGTGATGTTTACAGTGGTTCTGTCAAGTTATTTATTTTTTGAGTACTAAATATGCCTTTGGAAAGGACAATTTTAAGTTCTTTCCTTTCTTGGGTGTTTGAGGATATTGCAAAGGTTGTCTTTGATACTTTGACATAAAAAATTCAGTTTTTGTTTTTAGAGTCATGAAATCATAGTGATAAGAAATTCCTAATGGCCTTGTCTTTGAAACTAGACACAAGGTGTGTTGTAATGTTTGTGGATATATGTGTTCTGACTTTGATGCTTATTCCAGTACAACCAAAGCAAGACATCAAGAATCAAGTTCTGTTCCTGGGTTTCAGTTGTGATTATTGTTATATGATCAGTAGGGTTTGAAATTGTGTCTGACTTATTGCTGGGAGATGACCCTTGCTTTCAAAGGATACTTTACTAATGGGGTCTGAAGATTCAATGTTAATGAGTGGGTCTTCAAATCATACAGTTAATCTGATGTGTTTCAAGGAAGTGTCCTAGAATCTCAAACATACATTCTTGGTGACTTTGTTTCACAGAAGGCTCAGGTAGATGTTTGAAACTCATCAACCTGCAGAGGTAAGTGCACAGTGGTGTATTATGGAGTCACTAACCACCTTTGTTTCTTCATCATTATATCTGTCACTCATCATAAAAAAAAGTCCTCATCACTGAAATAAACTTCAGCTGAATTACTTTGAACATATAGTCTTGTTATCTTTGTTAGACAAGCATGCTTTATTGCAAGATTTACAAACTTTTCTTCATACCTGCCATTCTACTCTCCATCAATTTAAACTCAGTTCTTGGATTTTCTTCAAGTAAAGATATAGAGGAAGGCTTACTAAATGGTAAGAACATGAACCAAGCTTTTTGGCCTCAAACTGGCTCTAATCATAATGATGCAACAGTAGAATCTCATGACGGCATACCATCAGGCCATTTGCTTTTGTCTACCAATTCTGCTCAGTCTTGCCCTCAATGTGAACGGTCAAGATTACAGGATAATGACAGGCGCCCCATCCTTCCAGTATTAGAAGGCTTTGAGCCTAGAAGGGCAACAGGAGGTATGACATCCAAACTGCTGGAATACCTTCTTTGTACCCTTTTTCCTTTCAAACCCTGGTTAACTTGAAATTTTAATTGAAACACAGGAATCTTCAATGATGTGTATAGCCCTCACAATGCTATGGAAATTTCTCCTCTGGTTCATTTTGAGAGATTCAATAAGCAAGGCAATGGTGTAGGGATTTACAATGAAGAAGATCTATGGATGTCAAAATTTGCAGGAGACTTTGGATTCATGAATCACTGGAATTTCTCACCACTCCCAGAGGGCACATTTGACAACATTTTGAAGACATCCAACCCCAAGGACATTGTAAAAGATTTGCAAAACAACTCCCCTGCATCCACAATTGCAACAGCCCATTTGACACACCAAATAACTAGCACCCCTGGAATCATATCACAAGGTCATGCAATAGAAGCAGATTCTACAAAGTCTCCAAAAATGAGTGATTTGGTGTGGCATGGGGGCTGTATGGCAGAGTTGTCAACAGATGACTATCCCATATCAGATCTTGTGATCAACAATAGTTTCATGAAGAAAGGGGCTCAAATCAATCAGCCAGAAAACAACCAAGTAGGTATTGATGTAAGCAGCCATAGATATTCAAATAGCCCAAGTTACCCAAGGAGTCTGGACCCAGAAATTCCCTTCATATCCATACCCAACAAAGATTATAAAAACCTCCACCACCCTTCAGATTCAGATATACTCACCAATGCCAACATTTATAGAAGTCTTGAATTTTTCCCAGAGAATCTGGGAACTCATGTTTGGGACAATAGTCTAGAGAAACATATGTCCAAAAATCACTGGTCAGTCACTCCAAGTGACCTACCTTTGACATCACATCTGGGGGTTTCAATGGATTTTGAAAGTTCAAAAGACATGCACTCAAGAGAAGATAAATTCATAAGTCCATCAAATGAAACACCACTCACAATTCATGAACACACAAAATTAGACAACTCATTCAGTCTTTGTAACGATCATATTTATGGTATGATAGGTATGCAAACCTTACCAGATTTCCATCAAACCTTTGGAAAAGGGAATACACCTCTTTGTGAAGGGGATTTTGCAAAAAATGAGTCCCCCAATCTAAAATCATCTATCAATCCAGAATGCAGGTCCGATTTAAATTCACAGGGAATTGAAATCCAATCATCTCATGAGAACCTAGACAGCAGGACAATACTTGATGATCCAAGAGAAAGGCAGATGTGCAAAAGGTTGAAAAATAATTTTGGAGCTCAAGGAAAATCAGATAGATACCAAGAGCTTCTGGTTTCAAAGCACAAAATCAGGGAGAGGGAATCTGACCTGCAAGATATATTCAAACACAATAAGGGCAAGAAGTACTGCATTGCAGAAGTTCCAGTTGCAGGACTGAAATCTACTTCAATTTCCAATTCACAGTCTTACTGTAGCCATAATGGACCTTATGTAGGAGCAGATGCAGTGGATTCTTCAAAGGAAGAGCTACTCTTTGAAGTGCCCAATGTAGATTCTCACACCACTGCCTTTCCTCAAAAAGTGTCTGATTATTTGAACACATTGGGAAGTAGGAACAACTTGAAAGATGCATTCAGGTTCACTGCACATGAATCAAATCATGAAAAAATTCTACATGTAAATGATTTCAAAACTAAAACAGGGAAGACATGGAATCAGGTCGTTGCCAATGAAAACCAAAACATTTACCAACATCAGCCCAGATCATCATTTGATCTCTCAATTTTCAAATACCTTACTCCCTTCATGACAGAGCTTGAACAATTCCTTGAAACAGGCACGGATCTTACACAAAGGGCAACACCAGACAGCTTTAGAATGAGATTGATGCTTATGACACATGAATTCCTGTTATTGCTATTGAAAGCCAAATTAACTTTTGATCCAGATGAAGAAGATCTAAATGGAATTCTGGTTGAAGGCTACCAATGGGTAATAAATATTTGGAGAACTATTCCAATGAAGACATTTACCTTGAACAATGTTCTGCAAAGAACAACGCATACTGGAGCCTCAACTGAAATCCCATCAATTGAAGATACACTGATTTCAAGGATTGCTATTTGTAATTTCTTTAATAGAAGCCAACATCAATTCCTGGCTTACATAATTCTTAAGTGGATGCAGCAATTCAGACCAAGATGGTTCAAAACTGCCGAAAAAACAATCAAATGTTTACCCAAGGAACTACCAGCATATAAACCTAAGTATCCTCTGGCTCAGAAGTTACTTTCTCATCTCAATAGAACAGTCCTTGGTATGAAGATTGATGCATAATTCAATTAATTTTAACAACTTCACATAAACAGTAAGAGGTTTCAGCCTTGGTAGGTTTCTTGAAACAACCAGAGGACCAAAAATTCTTGTGTTTTGATGGATTGTAAATAGTCCAGGATTTGAAGTAAAACTCACTTCTTAGGACAAATCAAACTTGAATGATAATTAAAATTTGAGCCTTTAGAACAAGCATATGCCATTTTTTTCATTACTTGGATTTCAACCAAGAGAAAGAAAACAAAAAAATCAAGCATTAAAATCTAGGTTGGACAAGAAAAAATATTTCCCCTCCTCTCCCACATGTAACAAACAATTTCTCAGTAGAGCTTAAGTTATTGTCTGAGTCTTTTCAGAGAGATTAACCAGACTTAGAGCATCCACTATTGCCTTGTTAAATGGCCTTGGACCAGTAAATTGCACCATGTCAAGGCACAAAATCCACAATCATGTCCAAAACACACATTGGCATCTACATAATTTACTTGAGCTATCAAGGGAACTCTCATCTCCAAATTCCCTGAAATCACTCTCTACTACCCTCTCCTTTGATTTTGATCTATTTTGCCTTCTCATCATTCAACTGTCTCAAATAATCCTTCTCATCTCCTCATCAATCACCAATTTATCAAATTGGATCCATTGAATAAAAATAGCACAACAGAACAAACAAATGAGCATCAAAAAACTCCAAGTATTCATATGAAGTGATTTCATGTCTTGCCCCCCTATTTTGTTCAAATGATGCAAGATGCAAAATTAGCTTCAAAAGTTGATCAATAATTTCACCTTTTGAGGAATGGACAACTTACTCTCAATCAGTCCCATATGTGATAGGTGGTCTAAGTATGTATGCAGCTCTGGATATTGTTATGATCTCACATAGCAGTAGGGGATGAGTTACACACGTGAAACACCTACATAGACATGTCACAGATAGAGAACTACTTTGTACTTGCACTCATGCACTTCTTGCTTTTCTATCCATCCAAAAATCTATTCATAATACCCAGAACACCTCCCAGACCCAAGAACCCTTGCCCTTGCCGCTGAACCCCAAGAACCAGCCTTGACATCATTCTATACAGTCAACTCTCACATAACCCATTTCTTGGTCACCCATACTGGCTATAACCCATATTTCTGTGGTGACTCAGATGGGCGGATAGGAGCAAGAGGTATCATTTATGTAATGATCAGATTGCAATGTGAAGAGTAACAGGTAAAACAGGCTTCTGAGCTTCAGCTAATGCCCAAAGCGTGGATGTTGCAGTTTTTTTATATCTCTATAGTAGGCTCTTTACATAACCCCCCCCTGTTGTACCTCAACCCCCTCTTGATTGGTCAGGTATCTTTCCACGGGCTAGCATTAAAAAACTACATGGCAAAAAGCTTTAGCCCTCCCTCATCTTCTCTGTGTCCTAAAGTATCTATTTTCAACTTGTGGATCTTTTTTATTAAAATACTTCACTAATTCTTGCACATTCCTTGAATTCATTCCTGGTTCCCATGAGTTGTGATCTGATTCATATCCATTCCAACTAAGTATCCTATCTTCTTTCTGATTTTTGTCTTGTCAGTATTTCTTCAACTTCATAATTGTGCTGTCTTTCAATTATCAATGGTGGTGAGTTGTTTTTCACTTGTCCTTTTCTTTCACTCTTGTAAATTTCCTTAACAAGTTGACATGAAAGACATGATGCACATCCTTTATTTCCTTAGGCAAAGGGGTTTTAGATGGGTTAGTTGAGATTCTTTCCATTATGTCATAAGGAACAAGACATCAATGAGATAAAATAAGCATGCAAGTGGCCTTGAGACCTGGACTGTGGAAGAATTTTTCAAGTACCTGCCCCAGAGCACTCCACAGGGAAGGTCTCAGCCAGTGGACTCCAATTTACTCAAGTCCCCAGATATTGTCACAAATTGCATCATGCACAAATACTGTAAGGCAGTTGAAGTGTCTGGGAGGGCTCTCTGTTGAGCTCTGCAGGCATTTAGTGCAGCACACTCCAAAACACTAGTTTGGCCACCTGTGGCACCTGTATGAAGAGACATGTAAGTCGATCTTGTAGTGCACATTTCGAACGGCTTGGAAGCCGGAGCTTCGCACCAGAGCATGTCAGACGCTCTGGAGCGGACCTTTTTAGCACCCCAAGTCATCTTACAACAACTTTTTTTCATGTTTTTCAGCTAATCATACCTGATACACCAGTTCCTTTCAATTACCCACACTTTCAAAAAAAATTAACTCTGCCACAAAGTCGAAGTCTCACAGAGCGCTCTGATCATTTCTTCAAACGCTTGCTCTGACAGCAGGACAATCACACTTCAGTCATTTGTTCTTCCACTCACCTCTATCAATCTATTCCATTCACCTCTATCAACCTCTATCAACCTCTTTCACTCGACTCTATCAATTCTATTTCATTTTACTCTTGTTTGCAGAAGGGCATCAAGAGTTGATTTCCTTTACTTTGAAGTTTGTGTGCGGGCATCTCGTATATACACAAATGCTTACGATCCCAAAATGATACATATTTTTTTGATGTCAAACTTGCTGAACCCAACATTCGTCGTGGTTGGTATCCCATCCGTACCAAACAAGAAGGAGAAATGAATCACGTAGCGATGAGTCGCCTGGCGTTATATCCCCAGAACTATTCAAAAGGGGGCTCGGGAATGCGACGTGCGATTTTTGTGCGAGAAGTCGATTGGGAATTAGAACCGTGAGGTTCCTGGAGATGAAATGGAATGTCCGACGGGGGTCAACCCAAAGGAGTTGTCATTTGACGTCGGTGTGTCCGAAAGCGGCGCTGGTGGTGCCGCGGTGACCCGACGTCTGTGCAACGACGTAGCGTCGCGCATTTGCCGTTTCCGGTTCCTGCTGAGCTGACCAAAACAGCGGAGTTGAACACTCGAAGAAGTTGTCGATGCTGAGAGCGCTGAGGGAGCGGCGTTGCGAAAGATGGCCCCTTCGCGCCGCAAAGGCGCGGGCTATTGGCGACCCAGAAGGGCAAGTTGGAACGGACGCTCGAACACGATGTCGAATGAAATGAGATTGTCGAGGGGCGGTATTTCCTCGCTACACCAAACTTGGCTTGTCGCCGCTTTGGAACGGCGGAATTGCTTTGAATGCTGGAGGGGGAGTCTTCAACTTGAAAGATTTGACCAAGCGCTGGCCAGATCTGACGGCAGTGGACACGTTTTGTTCCCCTTTTGCACGTTGCTTAGTGGCTTACAACTACCTTTGCCAAAATAATCGTAATCATCGCACTGCTAGACGTCGTTTACACTTGAACATGGCGCCAACAAAGCCGGGGAAGACTGATGCTTCGAAACCTGCACCGTACGAAGCAATCCAGCCAAAGGGCGACTCACCTTCGACACTAATCAGAACCGGGATTGATGAGTTCCCTTTCGCCGCCAACATACACGACTGGCTGCCGTTCTGTAATGACCAAGCTTGTATTTAAGAATTCCTATTGACTACGAAGTTTTATGGAATCCGGAATCTCTGAAGAGCCTTCCTAAGCTAATATGTTTTATAGAAAACAACTCTAACGAAAAGTGTATTTCTCAAAACAAAGGTGACTATAATAACGAATTGTTTTGATAAAGAAAAGGAGAATAACACAACCATAAAACAACAAATATATATACTAAAAGAAAGCTGATTATTTAAATCTATGACATCATCGAAACATTATAAATCAGGAACCATCGCGTCCTGCGCATAACAACACAACCTGAATCGCGCTCATTACACGTTCCCCCTTGTTCATCTCGCACCGCCACCCGCTGGTTTCGACCACAATCCGTTATCCAACAGGTTTGTAAGGGACACATCGAGAAATCCTCCCAACTTCCCTTACGACGTAGTCCGCTTAACCTTGCCGCGCGAAGCTGGAATAGAACAAGACGTCGTATTTGCTATGACAGCATCGTCACCCTGGATCTTTCAAGGCAAGATTTACAACGGCAAGGCACGCGCATCCCTTGATCAGATTGAACACGACTCCACTCATTGCCCAAGTTCTCGCGGCCCCACTCGCGCCCACGAATGGACCAAGACCTGGCTCTGCAACTGTTCCGGCAAGCCTCGTAACCGCATTCAAAACACAATCACCGACGCCAAGCGTTCAACTGGCGGATCTATTCGCGTTCAGTGTCCAGCCAAGTTCATCATCCGGAAAACATTAGGCGGGGACCTAGAGTTCGAGTGGCGATGGCAGCATGAGCGACATAACCCGTATTCTCTTGCCGATATGCAAAATATGCGGTTGCCACAGGTCGTCAAAAGTTGGCTCAACAAAAGAGTCATATCAGGACTTACGTACCGTTCTATAGCCAAGCTATTTAGCTGCCCCGATTTATTTCCTGTTAGTACTTCCTTCCACAAAGGATCCTGATGTGTAACGTTACTGACCTCTACCACAGGAAGTTGGATCTAAGATTGGGATCGTTCCCGAAGCATTCAACATCGACTATCAGAAAGTAAAGAATGTGATTCGTTGGGTTGAAGAAAAGACTAAGTTCCTTGATTCCAATGTGCTGAAGTCCGTTGAACTTTGGTGTCAACAAATGAAAGAAAGAGGATGGCACGTGCTGAACGCTATCGACAAAAAGGAGCGACAGGTACAAGTTGCCTTCCTTTCACCTTGGCAAAGAGAACAATTGTCTCGACACGGAGACGACGTCTTATGCTTCGATTCGACTCACGGTGTTTGTTCTGGCATCCCCGAATTCCCACTCTTGAAGTTCACACTACTCACCCTGGTCATGAGACACCCTATCACTGGGAGCGGCATACCCGTCTGCTGGTTCCTTACGTCGGACGAAAAAGCGTACGCATGAAACTCCAAATGATAAAGGTCTCACGCCTACTGACTGACATGGTTCAACAATCAATAGGGAGAGCGTAACCCGCTTATTAAGATGGCTAAAAGACGAATTTCAGATGTGCCCGAAGGCGTTCATGACCGATTGCGCCCCAGCTTACC